TCTTCATCCGCTGCTCCATGGTGGATCTTGGGAGCAGACAGCTGGGAGAGGTTGCTGCTGCTGCTGCTGCTGCTGCTGCTGCTGCTGCTTTGGAGACTTTTGGCAGCGTTTTGCAAGGTAGCCTTCTCCTTAAGAACTCCAAAAATAACAAGATCTTTCCTTGTTTGCTTATGCATTTGGAAAGGCCGTTATGATTCTGGAGGATAGGTTAGGTTATACAAACCACACTTCCTGGTAACAAACACAAATCTCATTTTCATCGTTTGTCGTTTTGCTCCTGTTAGAAGCCTGTCCCAACATCCCTTGAATTTTCTGGAAATTTATTCCTGAAAATTGTGAAGACTGACCAGTGATGGATGGATCCATTCAAGTAGCTCTCCTTACTCCTTCAGGAATCCCTGTGTTTATTGCAGCAGCTAATTAAAATACCCTGAAGAACTGGCAGCTGCCCTCAAGGTTATTTCTGATCCTGCAGCAACTTGAACTTAACCATTTTTCATTGTAATTACAGCACGGCGAAGAAACAGCAAAGAAATAGCTGCTGCCCTGGAAAAACTGCTGCCCAAACGATGCCAAGTTCTTGGTCTTGTGACACCTGGAGTTGTTGGTAAGGAAAACACCACCACCAACAAAATAAGCGCAGTGTTTTTTTTCTTCATGTGGCTATACTTCCAAAGTATTATTTCCATGTGCTTAAAGGAAGCAACTGAATTTATTTTGCAATAATATCTCTTCCTATTCAGTGCCTTCTCACTTCTAGAGCTCCCTTCATATTACAGGATTGTAATACTGCAAATAAACTTAGAATTTGGACTTCTGATTAGAGTGGAAACAGTTCCCAGTAGCTCATGAGTCCCACGTAAGTTCATGAGGCCTACCAGGTCCCTAGTGTTGTCCCAGATAGGCCTCCTGTGAACTGAATGGACCGTAATTTTGAATGGCTTTCCATCCACAGTTGCTTTGAAACTGACATCTCTGTCAAACAGAGAGGGCTATTATTCGACAAGCATTCCACAGTTGAATGAACTGGGACAAAACTTAGCCTGACACCATCCCCCCAGTTTGCTTTGGAAGTTGTAACCTTGCTACATCTGGATGGCGTTTCAAGGCTTCAGGTTCTTCCTCAGGGGTCTGAATTCAGAGCTAAAAAATTATAAGCCACGCCAGTGCCATGCTAGCTGGGGATTCTGGCAGATAGAGTGTAACCCATATTTACAAGACCAGGTCGGGGACAGCTGCTGTCCTCGTCCAGTGATGGAGATGGGGTATCTGAACCATGTTAAAAAGGTCAGTATTTCAAAGTACAAAAGGCAAAAGGCTTGTTTGCTTTGTCCCGTAATACAGCTTCTTGTGACCTCAGAGGAAAAGGTGTCTTATGTTTACAACCTGCAAGTGTATTCTACAAATGCTTGGAGATCCATTTGAAGCCCCAAGGCTTTAAAAATTATATTGAAACCTTTCTGAGATCTGATTGAGAACCTAAGACATCTTGCCTTTTCCCACTTCAGGTCATTGTTCCCTAATTTTGTCTGTACCGCTCTGAGATTTTCTGCATCCCAGTTACGTGAAACCCAGCATAGCTGGTGACTGACCTTTGGACTTACGACCCACACTGCCTGTGCTGTACAAGTGAGCTTTGCTGATGTCTACAAGGATATTACGAGTCACACCACAGTTTGTTTTTTTAAAGCTCTTGCACCTGCCATATACATGTTATCGAAGATTAATAGGAGGGACGTTTTGGTATTGAATTGCCTCTGCTTTGCTTTATCCGACTTGTAGAAAACGAGCGTGTGTTTAAAAATGATTATTGCAAGGCTGTGTGATTCATTGGGGATGAGGTAGCAGTGGCAGTCTTAGAAATGAGGTTAACACGTAACTGCTCTGAACTTCACTCTTTAGTTACTCCAAAAGGCTCTCGCAGCAATCACCCCTTAGAAGTTGAAGATGGAGAGGCTGGCTTTGCCCTGCTGTTCCCCAAAATCGATGGGGTGAAGATTCAGACCTTCCACTTTTTTAAAGACTCGAGGAACCAAGTCATTGAGGAAGAACAGTTTGCTGAAGCAGGCAAGCCAAAGTGGGGTGGTTGTTTTAGTGCTCAGTTTGACGTTGGAACTCTTGCTTTAAAAAAAAAAAGGACTGAAAGCTGTTATGGGGAGAGATTTTAATTCCCATGAGCAGTTGTAATTCACAAGTCTGTAAAAGTCGCTACAGCTGACTGTCATATGATGGTCATGGGCTTAAAGGGTGCAACACGGGAATCGCTTTGAAGATATTTTTCATGCTATGAGATTATTGGAACATTGCAATTTGCAATGTAATGTTTGGCTCAAAGGGATAGGAGAAACTTAGTGATTCTTTGATCCAAATGGTATGTTCTAAGTCATCCTCCTTTTCTTTCCATACCCTTTCTACCCTTGACCATCAGACATGGCAAAGCAAGAGAGCAAGGATTTTTTCCTCCAGTGAACACATAGAGTAAACTAAAGCTAATTGGTTTGTTAACCGTAACTAGTCCCACTTGTTTTTACGGGCTCTTTATAATGGGGGATGTTGAGTCTCTTTTTCTAGCCATATAACTGAGGCAGTCAGTGTGTGTTGTTTGCCCAGTTGCTTGCTGGGCTTCGTGTATTCTGATATGTAAAAGGTTAACTGCTAGTTAAGTTTGTAAAGTACGAAGCAAAACAAAACATATGATTAGAGCCTTACAAAAAACCTCCAAGATTGCATACTGAGGAGGTCAGAAATTTGCCGGAGGGCTGTATGACAACAACAAATCTTGTGGGAATCTCTGCTTTTGATATGTACTCTGCTGTTCTATCCCTTTAGGGAAAGTAGGGCAGAAAACATAAACAGATGCAGTTACGTAAACTAAATGATGCATGACGTTTGGCATCTTGTTATTACCAGCAGAAAACCAGAGACTGATATTTTCTCCCTTCTTCTACTCTAATCAGGTCTTAAGAACAATCCGGATCTTAGGGTGGTTCTTATGTTTGGATACAATACCTGGAAGTCGGGATCAACACGATTTCTCCGCCAGATTCTCAATCGCTTGAATGAAAAAAGCATAATCTTAGCTGGGGGATATGTAGACAGCATTACATCTCTAACTTCAGAGAAGTGGGTATCTTCCAGGGCATTGAGATCTCTATAGTCTTGTTTTGATAAGGATAGTTTTCACAATAGGTTTCTATTGTTATGCTTCAGTCGCTTTGGCTTTTAGCTGTTTCTGAAAATTTCAGCTTCTGTATTGTTAAAAAGCAAGGTTCTGATTCTCCTGGCATGCTCAAATGTCTTAGGCTAAAGTGACTAATAAAGTTGCTTAAGAAGTTAAGAAAAGCCATGTTGGATCAGTCCCATATCCTGAATGTCACAGTGGCTAGAAAAATGCTCTGACAGCTCAACAGCTGGGTCAGAAAGTCGTTCCCTCATCCTGCCTTTTGGTCTCAAATTTACACGTATTTGTCACAGGTAACATTATCTTTGTTATTTTCTTTTATTTCATTTTCAAGCTAATTGGCCACCATTACGTCAATGGCACTGTGACAATGAACCAGAATAGGATGCTTGAAAAGTTTTTCCTGACTTAGAGCCAGTCACTTTCATTAGATTCTAGTATTAAAGAGAGGAAGGGAAAATTCTCTAACTGTGCCCCGACAGTGTAGCACTTTTGAAATGCTTTGTGTTCTCCCAGCTTGTCATTTGTTTGTCTAAAATTAGAAGTGCTAATGATGTATGTTGTAGCCCTTTCATCATCTTTTCCCTTTTTTGCACCTTCCCCCCTTTACCTTTTTTGAGATCTTTGCTTTATGTAAGTTATTAATATTTTATTCGCTTTACCTAGAATGCATGTTGCTGGAGTTGGACAGGGATGGACTGAACAGGCAAACATGGATCCCTGTTAGTTTTATACAACACAGTCTCTTAACTCTTTCCCAGTTCAGTCCACTGGACCTGTATTGAATGCTACAAGGATAGCATTCACTTTCCTGTTTCTTTATCCAGTTGTAGCAGGGTGCATTTCAGCGGAGTTCGAGATTGGGTATTTTGTCTGATGCGTCGCTCTTGCAGTTGTCGGATCAAATCCCTCCAGAATAAAGTCCACTGAGAGTACAGTGAACAGAGGATGTGCTGCTGCTTTAAGTGAATTCTGATAAAATTGTATGAAAAGGAGACAGAACTTACATAATTTGTATTCCTGGGAAAGGCTGTTCTGGGGAGACATTGCAAAGGAACCTTAATGCTTATAAACAAATCTCAGCGGTGGGATACATGGTAGTCAATGTTTTAACATTCACTTGCAGTTTCTTACATTGGTGGTAAAGTAGTGCTGTGATCTTCTTGGCGTGTCATCACACTCTAAACAGGTGCTCTGCAATCAACGCAAAGCTCGTATTTGGTTCCTAAAGGGCAGGAATGGTGATTCTGCTAACGGAGGCTCATTCCCAAGTTAGGGCTGTATCAGAGGGCCTTCTATCATTCCATTGCACTGCTGGCTTGTTAGCCTAACTCTATACTAAATGCTCAGGGATCTAGGTAACAAATGTCCTGTTGTCTAATGCCATCTGTGGACTCTTGTTTATGAGGAACAGTTTAAACTTTATTTAAAGTCAGCAAGCTCTTTTGAGGCTCATAGTAGTGTCTTGTCTTCTCATCTTTTCCCTCCCTCCCTCCCTGGTAGAATTTACATTCATGTTTCCAAACTTCTTGATGATAGGGCAGCATCTTACATCTTACTTACAAGAGGTCCTCAGAGTTCTGGCTGTTGCAGCATTCCCACAGTCACACGATCGCGATTTCCAACATTCTGTGCCAGCTTCCCACAAGCAAAGTCAGTGGGGAAGGCAGCAGGACCTTGGAAGTTGCAATCACATGAGGTCTTCACTTAACGACCCACATGGTCCTCATTTAACAATGGCAACTGGGACTGCTGGAATTTCCATTGCTAAGCAACATGGTCATGTGACCTCACACCTTACAACCACATCGCTTAGTGACAGAGTTCCTGGTCCCAGTTGCCCTCATGAGCCAAGGACTACTTGTAATTTTGAAATGGTACTATTTCAGAGCACTTTTTTCCTCCAAGCTTTCCTAACCCAGCCTCAAAATAGGATTTTAGATTCAAGTATCCTATGTTTGGTAAAATTGTTTTGAAACTTACTCCTGAGTTTGGTGCCAGTTTAGGCCTCACCAGCGTCTAGTCATGAGGCTGGTTTTATTTTATTTTTTAAAAAAAGAAGCTGAGATTTTCAGTATTTAGATGCCTTAGTGTCTTCAGAGAATTTTCTCAGGGAAGTGGGCAGGTTGATTTGCTGCTGTTCGTCTGAAGGAGAAGAGCAGGTTTGTGTTGGGAGAAATCAGCAAGTGTCTGGTTTGCAGTTTTTAATGCCTAAAACGCATGTTTGGGGACTGGCAATGTTGTACAGGATTCGTATTGTTTTGCATAATCTTTTGGAGATGTTGTGTTCTGACCTGGCTGCTCTCAATGTGTTTTTTCCCCTCTCTTTCAGTAACGTTCAGCCTACTGAGTCCTGTGGTGTTGTTGGCTTGGCTTTTAGTGGTCCCCAGATCCAGTGTGCCTCCGTTCTGTTAGATCAAGATGTAACAGATGACAGGACAGCAGAAGCTGCAATGCAGCGCCTCAAGGCTGCAAACATTCCAGAGCACAACAGCCTGGGTTTTATGTTCGCCTGTGTTGGCAGGGGATACCAGTATTATCAAACCAAACCAAACCTGGAAGCAGATGCTTTTAGAAAGTTCTTTCCAAATGTCCCCCTCTTTGGCTTTTTTGGACATGGGGAGATAGGATGCGACCGAATTGTGACTGGGAATTTTGTCCTGCGAGAATATAATGAGACAAAGGATGACCTCCTCCACGGTTACACCACCGTAATGACACTTATGCATCTAGGTTCAGCTAAGGTGAATCAAGCTTAAACCTCTTTTTTGCAATTGTGCACCCAAGTCACCAGGCTGCATTAATTTCAGGAACGTGCAATTCTGGGAACACTTAAAAGTGCCTCCTGAAACAAAAATGAAGGTTGTCCCGTTGACTTTAGATCTCAGATTATGTATGCTTAAATTAGGTGAAGAAAAGAACATTTTTATACCACCTTTCTAAAACTGAAAGTGCTTCATATATATGGTAGTTTTTTTTTCTTCATTCCAGTAGTTGCAAATGATGGTTGTTAGCATCACTGGTGCTTTCATGCTGGAAACTGATCGTATCATTTTTTTCATGCTGTTCATGGATTACTGAACAAGTCATCCTTTGAACTAATTCTGTCTTAAGCTGTGGCTGTGTCTTTTATTGTCTGTCTTTGGAGATAGAAAGCTTCAGGTCTGAACTGAGCCCTTTAAATCACCTGTTCAGGTAAGGTGGCAAAGTGCCCGGGCAAGCCTGGCCAAATTTGAAATAATGTTTGCATTGAATTTTAATCTCTTTGGTCTAGAGAGGATAAGATGGTCTGGATCCTTGGGGCTTATCTTAGTAAAATGTTGCAAGTTGGGCAATGTTGTTCACTAACTAGTTTGTATTATAAATTGTACTAGTTGCCTGTTTCTTAATCTCTTTTGTTGTAGAAAAATATTCCTTGGGGATTTTTCTGATCCCAAATATACCACCTTTGTGGAGGGGCCACAAGATCTGTCTGATTTGGCTCTGATTTTACTGTTGAGTGGTCTCAGTATAAATTTTTGGGACCTGGAGCTGGCTAAATAACAAAAGTCAGTGAAAGCCTAGAAATAATGTTTTCTTCCTATGAGGACATCTGCAAAATGAAAAAAAAAAATACTGCTTTTGTCGATGTAGGAAAGATAAGTGGCAGCAGAATTATATGATTGCAAGAGAATAACTTGATATTCAACTTTCCATCTGTCATTAAAACTACTGAAGATATTTATAATTTGGTGTAATGTCCTAGGGTTGTACTGGGGAAGTGGGACAAGTGTAAATAAGGTAACAGAAAATTAAATACTTGATTTTTCTCTCAACCACAAGTTATATTCTTTCTGTCTCCCTCCAAAAGCAGAGTGCCAGTAAGTTTTAAGTATTTGTTTCTGACCAAAATGTGTTGTTTTTTTCCATGAAAAATTGGAAACCATGATACAAGAAAATATTATTTTTCTCTGGGAATACACCAGGTGAAAGAGATGCACATCATATGTCCATAGGATGTGTTTTGGAATTCATTCCCGACTTGGCTGCTTTTAACGCATGGGAGAAACACAGTTTGCAGGTCTAGGTTTAGGTGGCCTACTTTATTAAGTAGCTATTTATTCTGGTCCTGTACCATTTGAATAAACAAAGGATGGTAATCCTGCTTCAGGACAGAATTCCTCATGTAGTTGAAGTCATTGCCTAGCATTCAGATAGGGTTCCCTAATTACCTTTCTTCTGGATTGATTTGGTAATGTCACTGCGATACCAAAAATACAAAATCCTAGGGAAATATTGGGGTGGGGGATACAAAATGTTAGATAGTGTACTATAGCTTAGTGCAATAATATTTATGGGCCAGTTTTCAGGGTATTTTCACAAAGTGATTCCTAAGGCCAGTAATTAAAGTTTTAGGCCAGTAATTTTTAAAATGTTCAAGAATAAAACTACTGTATGCATATGTTTCAGTGGGCAGAGACATCCCATTCTGGAGCCACTTCTGAGATGGGTTTGTCTACCATGCACACTAGCTAAATTACTTTAAAAGGAAATGGCAGGTTTTAATGGCCAGCGTGTTCAGCTCGAGAAACTGGCTTCCTGCTGCAATGATCCCACTGCTGGGGAAGCCAGTCTAAAGTGTATGTTGAAAATGTTGCTCTATGTTAAACTTGGCATTGACATGTGTGCTGTGCACACAACAGTAATTCAGTTGCTTTAAAAAGTTTCCCAAATTGAGATTGACTCCTGGGAACTTTGTGTACACAATTCTTCGGTTTTCTCGGTGAATTTATGCACATGGAGAGGTTAAACTTGGAGTCATTCTTCCTGCTGGGACAGACAGTGAAGTGTACAAGAAAAATGGGGTGAGATGGTCACCTGGAATTATCCAGGTCATTTCTCATTTAAAGAATTTAGTTTCTTACAATTAATGGTATGAAGATGCTTTTTTCATACAGCACACTGGCAGCCACGGTTTGCTTAGCTATGTTTATTGAATAAACTACAATTAGCTGGGGTTGCTGTAGTTCTTAAAAAATAACTTCAGCTGGGTTCACACGATTTAGCCCAAATAAGCAAAAAGCATTTTGGCTTAATGTGTTGTGTGAATCCAGGGAATGCAGTAAACGATGCATTTAAATTTTAGGCACAGTCTCCTCTCTGTAAATAGATTTTAAAAATCTCTAGGGAGAAACAACAAAGTGATTTAGAAGCAAAATACATACTTTAAAAGAAATGCAATGTGCATCTCGGGAGCTGGATAGATCCACTTTTTCAGCCCTTCCTAAAGCTCCCGTATCTCTAATGTAAAAGCAAGTTCTGTTCTGGGATTGTCACGCGGAGGTGAGAGGCCCCCCATCTGCTCCCAAACTGTGTTAGAAATAAACCCATTTACAGAACCCAGCCAACAGTAGTTTTTCCAATTCTGCAATTCTGTGATTACAGTTTTCCCAAATGAGAGGGAGTGCAAAAGAATAACTTTAATATTTTAAAGAAGAACCCTATAAAGCAGTTCATGACTCCATGAGTAAAAAGAACAAATGGTCTGTGGAACTTTATAGAACTACATATGGGTTTATATTAGTTTATCAGATTTCTTTCTTAGCTTTCTTCCAGAAGCTCTTGGTGGCATACTCTAGCACTTCCAACTCTTTTCTGTAACAACAGCCTTGTGAAGTAGACGGGGCTGCAAGAGAATGGCCCAGAGTCACCCCCAGGACTGAGGTGGACCTGAACCTGGGTGGGTCTCCCCGGTCCTTGTCCAACTATTACTCTACTCTGGCTTGGTCAGAAAGTTTTTTTTTTTTTTATTAGTCTGATCTTTACAACCCACTGATAACACATGAAAGAATTTTAAACACAGATTATTTTGAGAGACCCCAGATATGTATTGGAAGAGAAAAGGATAAACTTTATATACAAATGGAAATGTTTCAAACAAAAGAAAAAGGAATACAGTAACTATATCACGATCCTAAAAAGGCTCACCAAATGTTACAGTGGTAAGTTGTGGAAACCTTTACATAAGATTGCTCTTATTTTGTTTGCTAAGCTTGCTCCTGTCATGTAAAGTCCATTGCATGGTACTAAGACATAAAGCTGGTTTTACCTTCAATAAAAATGGATGGGAGGAACCCAACAGCTTCTCAGTACTAACTACTAATGTTTGGAAGTACTTTAGAACCATTTTGTCTATTTTAAGTATTGTGGATATAGTTGATTCTAATGTCCCTCTCAGCATCTTCACATACCTCTGACATTCTTTGTCTGGGAATTGTAAGAACATAGGCAAGGCATATTTATGCTTATATATTTGGTCCTGTAAATCATTAGCAACACATTCTTCTTTCAGAGCATCCGGGAACACTGGTACAGATTCCTGGAAATTACAGAAGACAGTGGCTTTATTAGATTTTTTAAATGTCAAATTATGTATTATCTTTCCCATCATTTTTGTCAAGGCAGCTTACAAAGGTATTAAACTAGCACACTGGTGTACCCACAGGAATTAATTAAGCACATCAAAAATGAGTAACTGAAAATTCTCAAGAATACAACGAGCAATTTTAACTCATTCATCTGCTTACCCTAAGAATCTGTTTTGAAGATCTCATTTAATTATTACTGATTGTATGTTGCTTTATTCAAAAAGAAAAAAACTTTTTCTAACATTTACATAGCAGTATTTTTTTAGGGGGGTGTCCATCTAAGTCTACATAGTATTCTTTAATATTTATTCTTCATCATGTAACATTTTTGTTTATCCTGAAAAAAACCTCAGTGTTGTTTCTCCCATAAACTAAAAATGTTTGATACCAAACACTTAAGAGGACAATATCAAGATTCAGGAGGATCTTGATCAGCTGAAACAGTGGGTAGAACCTAACAAGATTAATTTCAACAGGGACAAATGCAAAGTCCTTTACTACATATGGGTAGGAAAAATCAAAGGCAGGAACATAGGAAAGGAGAGACTATACTGGGCAACATTTTCTGAAAAGGACCTGGGGGGATCTTGGTGGATCACAGACTGAACATGAACCAACAATGTAATGCAGCTACAGAAAAGGAAGTGTATTAGGCTACATCAGCAGAAGTATAGTGTCAAGATCAAGAGAAATTACATAGGCCAGACAAACCCTAGAATATTGCATCCAGTTTGGGGCACTGGAGCATGATCAGAGGGCAGCCTCCAAGATGATAGGGGACTGGAAGGAAAAACCCATGAACTCCCATTTTCCTGCTAATTTATTACTTTTTTTACATTTACGTGTATTGACAGATACAATTCTCATCCATGCCCATTCTCATTTCATAAATTAGAAGAAACTTTGTGCAAAAATATGGGCCAATGAGATGTATTCATAATCTTTGGCAAAGCAATTTGCATTATTCAACTGTGTTTAAATACGCATTTAGGATAATTCACAACTCCTTCATTCTCACCGTAAGCTTTTGTAAAAGGTCAGATTATTGGACACATATCCTAAACAGACATTCCTAGTTTTTCTGGTAACAGGATAATAATGTATTAGAATCTTGTTATCACATTGCTTTTGCATAAAAATATTTTCCCATATTAAAAAATTAGAAAAGTTTGAAAAGTATTTCTGAAAAATTCAGAGAAAATGTGCACATAACATGCTGGGTATCTGTGTGTGAGCTTCTCTTCCTTTGAAACGGGATCCTAAATATAACTGCCCTGGTAAATCTTTAATTAGCACAACACTTGTCACAGAGATCCGCTCTGTCCTCTTACCATATTCTCCAATGTGGTTTCAGCTTTTCCACTCCTGCTCCTCTTGCTGCTTGTCCATAATTCCTTCTTTTGATTCCTTTATTCAGTTATTTCTGAAAAGACAGCATTTCCATCAGGTCCCTTCTAAACCAAGTAGGGCAATCTTTCATGGCGGGGACATGGCATATTCCATTGGGGGTGGGGTCTGCGGCGGTCCAGGAATTGGGACGGGAGATTGGAAGTGTGGCCTTGTCTCAAGCTAGAGGATTTTAGGCTCCCTTTCAGTTTTTATCCACTTCCCTTTTCAGACACGGGACTGGGGGAACTAACCCTTGTGGTGATCCAAGTGCTGGTGACTACAAAAAGGGTGGATTTAGCAGCTTCAGGCAGTTTTCCTACACCTCTTCTGACCCATCCTTGTGCAAGCCATTGACCTGAGAAGTACTCACTATTGCAAGCATTGCTGCTGTTTCCCTCAATCAGGTGATCTCCACGCTCCAGTGAACTGGTCCGTGGAATCTGGCCTTTCCTGGCAAGAAGTGATAATGGAATGAGACAGCAAAGAGAGAGAATACGGATAATCCGAGGATGTGGGTGGGTTTTGCAACTTCTTAGCTTCACATCTCAAACTTCTCAGTGAAACTGGCTTAAATCTATAAAGGGCCTGATATGGCATCAAGGATTAGGGGGTTGGGGCTGTTTTGCAACCCCTTTTCAAATAAGTGCTCTTATAAATTGTACCGTCAGGACAACAAAGTTTGCATTTTTGAAAAACGTGCAGACATCCCATGACTCAGCTTTACAGTTCCTGGGAGGGTTTTTAGCCGAGGAACTAAAGCAACACTCACTGACTGATTCAGTTGCCCGCAAATATACTATTATCTCACAACAGTAGAGTTTATCTGCATCTGGTTAGAATAGCAGAGAATTAAATGCTCTTAACCATCTTTTAGAAATGGACAAGAAAGGTTACATGTTCTAGTGTTAAAGGACAATTGCACAAACATTAAATTTTTTATTACAGAGAACACTTATTCTGGTGACTAGAACAGCCTGAGACTCTTTCCTTGGGCCAATATCTAAGCCCAACTGCTTTACCTGCAAAGGAAAAAAAATGCTCCAGCAACCAGGACACTCAGAACAACCACCGAAGCCAACACAGCTACAAACAGTTCCCCTCTTGAGTGGTTCTTGATGCTCGGGAGCAAAATTGCTTCACAACGAGCTCCTGTATAGTTGTCAACACACCTGGAGAACAAAGATTAGTTTGTTTGCAAGCTGAAATAAAGCCACATTTTCCCCGGGTTGGTCCCTTCTCTGTCCCTTTTACCTTCCTCAGTTGTCTCCAACAGAATGAGCGTTAGACCAACAACAAGGGCTTGTGGAAAGCACAGTTCATTGACTGCAGGTATGTTGCTCTAATTCCCTATTTATTAAGTGATTTCTTTGATTCATATCCTGCCTTTTCTGCAGGAGTTCAAAGGCAGCATGCATAGCATTCCTTCCTCCTGTTTTTTTCCCACAACAATCCTGAGTGGTTAGAGACGGTCCTAAATCTGCCAGGTACATCTGGGCAGTGAAGATTTTATGGCTATCCTTTCATTTTCTGCATGATGGCTGTTTTGAGTGAACACAATAACCATGGGGTCTGGGAAAGGGGGCAAGCAACATTGCTTGTGTCACAATGTCACATGCAGATGAAGCTATAATGCAGGTGAGGTCATTGTGACTTAGACACCTATGCACTACCACAAATTTGCAGATTTGACCCTGAAAATATAAATCCACTGTTTAAAGAAATGTTGACATACAAATCTAACAAAAGATTCTGGGTACTTGGAAGGACTGAAAAATCTGAATAATAAAGGAAATAGCCCAGCATTGGTGGCTGGGAGAAATATCTGAATCAGCAAATTGAAGGATCAGGGATCAAGGCAAAATTATACTGTATGAAAAGTAGACTGAAAGTTGAACAGAATATTTGCTAGATTTGGACAATATAGCAACTAACATTTGCACACAAGCAGAATGAAAGTTAAGGCACAAAGGGTTATTTCAAGAATACTTGCAGAAATTGAGCTTTTTATTCCATTGAAGGAGAGGGTAACATTTATAGCAGAATTTTCATTGACCTATGACATGAACTAAGAAGATGCTAAGATTTTTTAAAGATTCCCTAATGACATTTATGATTAAAATGCATATTGTAATGTAATCTTATCTGTCTGTAATGGATTAATATGCACAACAGGCCCAGAACTGAGTGTTAAACTCCCACCTTACAATTAAATGTGCTTCACGATTCCACCTTCCATTTGCTGCAGGGGAGTCTCAGGGGAGAATACGCATCCTATTTTCCCTCTGCTCCAGCATATACTAGCCAGGTGGTTCTGTGAGAGTCACCTGTTCTACAGATCTATGGTATGTATGTATACATACAGTAAATTTATTGCTATAATGTATGTAAGTCCTATTTATGTTGTGTAGGCTAATGAGTCCTTTGGGGAAGAAAATCTACATTTCTAAATTTTGTAGGTAGTGAGTAAAATGGACGTGCGCTTTGGCATCTGGAGTTGATTTGGAAATCAGATGGGTGTTGCCTATAAATGGGAAGAGGGGAAGAAGGAAGACTGGACAGAGCCCCGGATTTAAAGAGACCAGTACAATATATCTAGCAAAAAATTAGCACCAGAGCTATTTTGGAGTAAAAGGTTATTGGGATAGCAAAATACACAAATAATACATATTGAGGGTTGAGATACTCATCTTTTCCTATCTCTGTGGGATTTGGTATTGCACTGCATTGCACTGACTTTAGAAAGCCCATCTTTACTGTGAGGAAGTCTCTCCTGTTCCATTGAAATGCCCGCTTCAACCATAAAGTGCAAGAACAGTGAAATACTAAAAAGTAAACAGGAATTATCGATTGCCATCATGTCTCCTAGATGACAACATGTGTATTTATTCAAAAGAATGATGTAATTCTGCGTACACATATCTACCGTCGGCTTGGTTACATAAGGTTTTCTTGCATCATGGGTCTTCAGAATGATCTGATTTAGACATCCCATCTCAGGATTTCCTGCCAGGATCTGTCAGCCTCCAATTAGGCCAATCGTGCTTGGAATTTCCTACTGCTCTCTCTTTAGGGACTTTCCAAAGGCTTTGTGCCTGGGAAATTAGCTGATGCAGAGGCTCTAGGAGACTTCCCCTGAACAAGGACTTTTGTTGCTGGGTGTCACATTTTTCAAGTAAACAAAACATAATACTGGGTCAAATCACAAGGGCATTTCTAAAAGGGAAAAAGAATTTCTGTCATCTGAAAATCCTACATTTCAGCTAATATACCAGCAAAGGGCCAGACGATGATTTTTGAAAAGCAGCTGCCGTAAAATGCAAAGTATAATTGTCAACGTTTAGCCTACCTGCAAAAAGGACTGGAAGCAGTAGGTATTGTATAACAGATGCCACCATTCAGACAGAAAGAGCCATAACTGCTGCCACAGAGTTCTTCATGATCTAGAATTGAGAGGAAAAAAACCCTCTAGATTTAGATGGCTTCCTTTTCTTGCATAAATAACATTTGATAACATGAGAAAAAAATGACAAGGAAAGGATTTACAATCAATGCAATGGATTTTACTGGGAAAGCTTGAAGCTTTCAGATACTGTATGTTGCCCTCCTTTCTTTTTTTTTAAAAAAACAGTATCGGGATCGAAGCCATTAGAAGGGCTCGTAAGACAAAAGGTCTTTTTGACTCTTGATTTTCTTAACACTCTCCGATCCATAAAGAAGACACCCGGTGTGGGGTTGATCAAGGTACTGGAAGTTCAAGTCCAGCCTCAGCCACAGAATTTCACACATTCTCTCCTTCTTTCAACCCAACCTTCCTTGTCTGTTGGTTGTGATGGGGAAAAATAAGATGTAGGAATGCTACGTGTGCCGCCTTGAGCTCCTCAGTGAAAGGTGGGATGTAAATCTAATAAACAAGTTGTCATCTGAATGAAGGTATGGAGTATTCACATACTCTCTGAGGTCAGGAGGAAAAAGGGAGTGTTGTTAAATTACAGTGTATTCAGACAGCACACTTCTCTCAACCAATTTGCTTACAATAAATATCACCAAGTAAAATATCACCCTGGGAATATTTCCCCCACCAAATGTAAAAAACCCCCTGCAATATTAAGTAATAGACATACATACTTAGGCACGAGAGCTGGCTGGGTGACTTTGGGCCAGTCACTCTCTCTCAGCCCAACCCACCTCACAAGGTGGTGGTTGTGTGGAAAATAGGAGGCAAGAGTATTAGGTGTGTTCTCCTCCTTGAGTTATATTTAAAAAGGGCAGGATAAAAAAATCTGATAATAATAAGAAATGTAATGATAATAATTCTTAAATGCTTATGATATACAGTAATAGGATTCACCTAGGTGCAGCTATTTTTTGCTATGTATTATAACTATATCTACTGATCAGAATAAATGTTTTAACCAAAGTCATTTAAAAAACCTCAAAAATTATTTTGTTATTTTTAAATATTACAGCCCTCTCCATTAAAAAAGAGCACCACATATAATTGAAAGTCAGGTGCTACCTTGCACATTAGGTGTTACAGTCCTTGCTATTTCTACTGTCACCTGAGAATGGGGCAGAAGAGGATCCTTATTTGGAAGCAGGGAACATAAGCCACATTACAAACCGTTGGACGCAATTTCTCGTCTCCCAAATACTGAAAAACAAAGCTAATTCAGGTCTTGATCATTTCCTTTTTTATCAGTAAAGACTGGGAAGGGAGGTCTTTCATGGCCGCTGCCAACAGAGTTCTGACATCCTGGCTGTTACACCAGAGGTAGGAAGGGAGCTGTGCCAGGAGGGTGGGGAACAGCCCAGTACTTTCCACATCAATACGTTTGGTTTATAGAATCATAACCTGACCAGCTTGTTTATCCAGTACTGTTCTTTGCTGACAAACTAAACTCAACCAACCAGAATTTCTGTTTTCACTCTGAAACTCTTGCTTTGTGAAGAAGTCTGCTTCTGATTTTAGAGAAGAAAGGACAGGGCCTTGATGGTGCCAGACGTTAGCGTTTTGAACAGAATACCAATCTGAGGTTAAGACTGTGACCTGGGTATCGATGGCTATAGTCCAAAGAAAGAAATTAATGGTAAACTAGTAATTGGTTAGAGATCGTGTCTAGAATGAATATCTCCCATAAATAGAAAGCTATAGTATCTTAGCAAATATCCAACAATACAAGGGATAAAATAGAGTTCCGCAGAATCCCAGATCATACCTGCCAGAGGACAGAGCAATGCTGTCCACCCCTACCTTCATGAATTGTCCATTGACCAAGCAGTGGAATAATTGTAATAGACTACCTCCCTTTCCCGAAGTCCAGTTCAGACGGCCCATCCAGAAGAATACCATGGTCAAAGGAATTGAAATCTAGTGAGCACCCGTCTAAAGGAGTCTCCCTGTCCACTTTCCCTGTCCTTTTCTCCTCTCATAAAGCAGAGAAAAACATTCCCCATTTTAAGTTGGATTGCAATTAGTCTTAAATTGGATTGCAATTAATCTAAGACATCTGTTTGCCCCAAAAGCATTAAACCAAGTGGTTTCTAAACAACTCCAAACACTTTTGGGCAAAACAGATTTTTTTTTAGCATCCTGCCCAGGAGGACATTTGCAACAAGCCCGCAGCTGTTTATGCCTTTAGGGCAGTGTTTCTCATCCTTGGCAACTTTAAGACATGTGGACTTCAACTCCCAGAATTCCCCAGCCAGCCATGCTGG